TCATACCATGAAGCACATCCAAACTCCAAAGCCTTTCAAAAGACCTTTTTACATCAAAGTGGATTCCAAGTATGCATGCACACTGTATAAGTTATTGTACCTCAGTATCATCCATATATCATTGGGGGGAAAAATAACATGAGAGCAAAAATTACAGTGTGAATCAAATTTGGGGAATGCCAGAAGAACATGAGGGTGAATGAAGGGAGACTGAACTATTGCATGGCAGGTCAACATAAATACTGAAAGCTATGAAAAGATCTCTTGTTAATTTTGCCATGTTATCAGAAATACCTAATGAATTGATTGGCAACTACGACACATTGAAAGACGTGTTATGGCACAAAGAAATTAACATTCAGCATTTTTTGGCAACAGCAGAAAAACAAGACATTGACACTCTTGCTAGTGGAAGAAAATTTTCTTCTTGTGTGGCTATATGGCAGAACAGTGTATTCCCCTATACATTGCAGTGGGGCTGTCATAATGGACGAATGATTTATCACTTACCTGAGACACCTGTCATCTATAATACTTCAACAGGTGTCAAACAAGGCTCATTAATTACAGGTATAAAAAAACAATATACAAGATATTGTGTATAGAAATCATATGTAAATTATTGACAGCTGGTGGTCATTGTCATACAAAATACCTGTCTCTTTTTTTTTAATTAGCACACATTCTGCACAATTTTAATAAAATATATATATTATATATATATATATATATATATATATATATATATATATATATATATATATATATATATATATATATATATATATATATATATATATATATATATATTCAAATGTCTATTTTATTCTGGCAAGTAAAGGTGAAATATATTTCTATGTGCAGATTTATATATACATGTGGAAGTATTTGGGTTTCAACATTAAAATTTGCTTGTCAAAAGAAAAATTTCCTAATGCACATTACATAATAGCTTTTGGAATTTTGTAAATTATGCTCAGAAAAGTATGCTAACAAATTTTGATTTTTAATTAAGTTAAAAATGACTCAAAAATTCCTAGCATGGCTGTATATCCAATTCAATTCTCAAATGTTAGCCATTTTAAAATCAGTTTCAGAAATGATGTTTAAAACCCCTCAAAAACAATTTTCCCCCCATTGTATCTTTGACTCGAATCTTTTCAATGAACTAAACAGTGCCTCAAAGGTCACCCGCAGATACATCCCTGAAGTAGCAAAAATCACAACACGCAAGCTTTAATTGGATATTCCGAATTTAAATGGATTTAATATCGGTGGCTCTTTTATCTCTCTAATGAGACTAAATTATGTTGTAATTTGACTTAAAATTGACCACTGAGCCTTGAAATAAGTGTCTTTCCATGTGAAATCCGCTAAATATAAACTTTTATAAACTAGGCCTCTTACATCATCAAGAAAAATGTTAATCTCTTCCAAGATTACAGAATTAGCTTCAATGGGATTGCCAGCAATAAACAATTTTTTAAACCATTGAAAAATATGTGAATCATGCTCAACTCTTACAATGTTTGGTTTGGTTAAAAAAAATGATTGCATGCTTCAAGTCTCTAATAGCCACATTAAATAAAGGCAGAAAAAATGTCTTGAAATTGTTATTTTCTCTAACTTAAGCCATGCAGGCCTTTATAATTACATTTTACATCATTGTACATGATGAAGTCTCAATGTGGGTGTTTTTTAAATTATTCATTTACGTGTAAGAAAATTATTCTGATTTTAGTCACTTTAATATATCGATTTCAAATGAACATGCAATACACTTGAGACCTATATTACATAACACACATGGATCGAATTCCAAACTGTGATATGAGAAAGATGGGCACCGCAAAATGCACTTTTGGAATGTTCGTGTAATATAAGTCTAGAAATATTAGTAGGTGTCTGTCATTTAAATTTCCATCAATCTATAATAGACTAAGTATTTCTCCTAAAAAGAAAATTCAAACTTGAGAATGATCTTTTGAACAACAAATGTACATTTGCGAGATATTTTCTATTGAGAACAGAACCCCTCATAGAAATAACAAATGAGTGGCTTCGAATCAACTTTCTTTGTGTCTGTGCCTTTTTACCAGTAGCCCTATATGTAAACATAACCATTTTCTCGCTCTTTTTTCCCTGAATGTTTGCACAATTTTCTCTGTTTGCGATCGGCACCATATACCTGTCTGGTTTTCTTCTATTTTTTCTTGTTTACTAATGAAATCTCCGAATTATCAGCACGTAACAATGCCCCCCTACATAAAGTTACTAGGGAACATAAGGTACCATTGTCCAGATTGATACGTAGATAAACCTTTGTTAAAGGGGAGATAATTTGTATCTACTCTGTAAATATAAACAAAAAGGTGATAAAAGGGTCCTGCAATCTTAACCCTCCAGCCTTTTGACAAATGTGTCAAAAAATTTTAAGGACCAAGAAAGGTTACATATTTCCAATATCCCAAGGTTAGTTTGCGTGATACAAACATATTCTAATTCTTTAATCAACCCTATTAAAAAATTCTTGAAATTTTCATCAATAGTTTGTTGCATAATATTGTTGTATGGTATTTTACTGGTTAAATTCCAATCTGTTGTTCTTAAAAAAAAAAAAAATAAAAAAAAAAAATTCCCATAATTTTCAAGAAGCAACTGAAAGTAATTAACTGATAATCCTCTAATAATCCCCTTGATCCATTAAAACTGTCTGAACTCTATAAACATGATAAACAATCTAAAAGTTTAATGTGAAACTACCCCCACTTTTAAAGTAATTACTGATGTAACCCCCTCAATATTGTAACACCTTCCCCCCAAAGAAATCAAAGCCAGGGGACCATAAAGCTATAATTGACGAAACATAAACAGCCAGCGTGTGTCATAAGCAGGCCTATAAATTCACACAATGGGCCCCAATAAAAACTTTCAATCTGGACAATTGGTGAATTATGATGGTCACCTGATAAAAATACATGTCCCTGCTAAATGCACCAAGTATCAGACAAAAGAGCACCCCCTTGGTGTCCTAACAGAATGTCACCTTGGTGCCACAGGTCGTGAAGAAAATTGGGGGTCATAACAGATTGTGGGAGGATAAGGTGTCTAATTAGCCATGCTATTTTATGATTATCAGATTATCTTTCAGATTAACTGTTATAATTGTTTTTTTACTGGCCGTTTCCTATACCTTCTGTTCATCTGTTGGCTAACTAACAATTACAGACTGACATGTTTCTGTGTTGTGAAGATTTTCAGCTGGTCAACATAGTGAAAGTTTGCAGTTAATTTTTTTTTTAAATATTCATTCATGCAATTATACATAGAATGAAAAGTAATTTCTTCTGAACCACATAATTTTTAAATGCATGCAAGTAAAATTTCTCCTAATCAAATAAAGAGTTTTAATACATGTATATTCACTGATTTATTTGAATTTTTTAGTTAGTGTCCATTTCAAAATGTGTGCTTAAATAATTTCCCACTATTTGCTGGGCATTTAAAGCTGTGTTTGTCACTTTTATTTCAATATTTTATCAAGTATTTAGTCAATATTTCATTCATATCAGAGAGCCTTTCACACAGAAAAGCTAGTTTTCAATGATACAAGATTTGTTCAAACAGGCACTTCAGTATATATATAGATATGGACCCTTGTATCAACTTCATCCATTGCACAGTACTATGTATAACAGGAATCTATTTAACTGTCAGATAAAAAAAATTCTGGTGAAGTCTAAGAAAACTAGCATATTTTTTCAGCTACTGTCTGACTCTTGGCCAAATTCATAATTATATATAAAAAATCTGTGCTCTCTTTCTCTCTCTCTCACTATCCCTCTCTCTCTCTCTGTGAACATCTGTTGTTTGTATATTGGACCCCTCACCCCTCTGTGTAATGTCTCCCTAAATCAATCCATTCATTACTACATCACTGCCTCAGACAGGCTACATGTAGATCACAGGATATATATATACACAGAGAGGATTAACATTGAGATTAACATCTATAACCATTGCCTCAGGATAAGATTTTTACAATCTCATTTTCCAGAATTCTACCCTAAATTGACAGATTGTCATCATTTATTAATTTGAACATGATGAGGCTCTTAGTTTCTCAGTGGTGTATATCACAATTACTTGAATGTGCTGGAATTTTAATAATATGTATACTACAAGACATATTCATCTAAATACAGGGCTATATTTATATTCAATTAAAATAAATTCTTTTTTTTTCACAAATTCAAAGTCCAGAGTGTCACATTTCTAAAAAACAGAGAACAAAATCAGATTTCAGCCTATACCCTTTACTTGGTTTATCATTCAGTAGGGGGTTTAATACGGGACTGAAATAATATATTTTATTTATTCTAACGGGTACCTTTTGGAAAACAGCCAGCTTGATTTTTTTTATCAATTGCATCATGTTGGTCTTGCTGTACAAGACTTGTCAAGGAATATTGGCTCCATATGTATATATTTTTTTTGTGCAGTGTCAATAAAAAATTAAAAATCTATAAATGAAAAAGTTCTGCCTGCTAAAGTTTACTTTTGCTATAAGGCAAACTAAACCCATCTTCTGTGTAAATTAAGTAACACTAAAGAATTTCTATTGCCATGTAATCTGAAATGCTTTAAAATGCTCCACCTTTTTCTATGGTATAACGGATGTTCAAATTACGACTTGAAGATAGGTAGAATTAGAAACTGGGGAGATATATTTCCCTCCTATCTTAAAACTAATGCAACCAACAGCAGGTGTAATACTAGACCAAACTCACGGAAGCTGGGCAGGCAAGTGTAAAAAATAACATCAACAAGCACTTATAGATAACACTTAAAAATTTCCCAAACTTCCACACATTCTGAAACCTCTGATCTTGTCCATTTTGAAAAGAGTGCAAGCTTATTCAAATTTCTGGGGCTGGATTTCACCTCATGCACCTGTGCAGAATTTCACCTCATGCACCTGTGCAGAATTCAAGACTCACCTCCAGAAATGAAGTTCGAAGCCTGGACATAGTTCCCGACAGTTTGAGCATGGTTTTCCTGCTGAAACTTGGTGTGCAAGGGGTGGACTCTGAAATGCAGGCATCAGTTGTAAAATAAAATTGTGATAAAGCAGACAAAATTGATTTCTTGTAAAGTATTGAATGAAGACTGAAGAATTGTATAAATGTAAATATTAGACATTTAGCATACGCCATATTCTATATATGCAGTCATGCCAACCCGAACTTTCATAAAGATTCGCAAAATTTCCATCATCTTGCTTGTTCAATTAAAATACAAATCTTAAATAGAAGAAATTTCAGTAATTCGACCTCCCCCTACCGTGTTGTAAGTTTTGGGGATGACCCCCGTGTCCAATATCGGCCTCTCATCATCCTTCATCAAATTATCTCCAACATTAGCCATGATAAAAACAAACACACAAGATAGAAATCACATTAAGTAATTTTAAAATCCCGATTAAAATCCTACACAGTTTCCACAGTGTATTTCACCCATCACGTTCCCTCATCTAGTGTTTTTTCACGTGCAACTAAAATAAGCCCCCAAACTCGTCCCTTTCACAGTGCGATTCGCTAGTTTCTCTTTCGAAGGCGGGATTAAATAATACTGTGTAAAATCCAAATCAATTTCTATGTTTTAAAATCCGTACAGTTAAGGTGATACATTAAAACAATTTACACCATTTCTCTTCATGTGGTGTTTTAAAATAAACATCGCTAAGATCACACATCTTGTCTCCTCAGGTAAAAATCACGATTTGTTTTCAATGTGGGTTCAAATAAGCTAAGCCCCGCCCACAAACCGAAGAAGGGCATTCGGAACCTCTTATGCTGTTTCCATGTTCGTCTTCGGCTTGCGGAATTTTTCAAGAAAGGAGAGATAACTCTAAGAAACACAACAAATTTTAACGAAAAGTCCTGCTAAAAGAAAAATGTTAAAAAAATATTTTAACATAATGTGAAATGCAAGCTTTATTTATTTTTCAAAAATTAAAATGCACCGCTCGATATGCAAATTGTAATTTTAATATTGTCATCGTACGAAATCGATCTGGTGTGAATATTTTTTTTTTTTAAAATGCTTCAAAATAATTTTTTTTAAACGATTAAAATTGTTTTTCAGGTAAAGTTTTGTCTAGCAGATATTTTCATTATATAAAAATTGAAAATAAAATTCATATAAAATTTTCACTAGGATCACATGTTTAAAATCAAATAAGTAATAAATAATAAAGAAAGTTCGTCACTTAGTTTAACTCGGCCAAAGTTGCAAATTTTCTTTTTTATTTCTGATGAGAGAGAGTATTTATTAATATGTAGATTTAATAAAAAATGAATTAAAATTTGCAGACAAGGGGACGTCGTACTTTGCCCCAACAAAATTCGAATTATCAAACGACCTTTTGGATTTTATGTCGGTGATCTATCAAACAGCCCCTCCTACTACCCCCTCCCGCTTTTTACTGATTTACTTTCAGTAACTGGATATTCCATTTTTTATCGTGTCAAACTTTGTTCTCTTGAAATTTTTATTTTTGGTGAAAAAGAGACTACCACATTTAACTATTCGTATAAATCTGCAGCTGTTAAATTTGTAGGTACCGAAAGAATATTAATATAACAATCAGTCGGGATGTATTTAAAAGTTGGCAATTGTTCTCGTCGATCTGAACAGTGTTGCATTTATCAATTTGATTATAAATAAATTCAAGATATGTAAATTTTACCTACAAAACATTTGTGGAAAAGGATAAGATATTACACTTTAAAAATGAAAGGGATTTTAAATAAAATCAACATTTAACCCCCACCCCACCCCCACCCGACCACAAACACACACACTTTGTCTGAGAATCAATATTTAACCCCCCCTCCCCCCGCCACAAACACATACTCTTTTTCCGAGAAAAAAAAAGGATGGAAAGAAAAGTCATTTGCATGGTCTATATATTTCTTACCTGCGCCTGGCAAGATACACCGTTCAAACTGCTCAAGTATCTCTCCACTACTGCCATGTAAGGTAGGTCGTACCCCATGGGCTGACGTTTGTATCGGTCAGCCATTGTCTCATCAAAACTTGTTACACACTTGGAAAACAATATTTTAATTCACATCAAAGCATTTTATAATTTTGTTTAGAGTAGAGCCTTTTTTTTCAAATATGAAAAAATATAATATTTTCCATGCAATGCCACAGAAAAGTCTACCACTTTTTCTCCAAGCTCAGCTTATAATTTCCCCTAGTTATTAACGGATTTAAAACGATCCGATATCGGCAGAATAGATCCGAATTGTATTTATTGCATTTAAGCATCGAGTATAAAATCCGCATTACACAATGTTTATTTAGTACAACTATTAGCTGGTAACCTGATTTTGTCTTTGGGATTGAAGAATGTGGCTCCATGTGGTCGTAACTCTGACAAGACCGCGTTAAATAAGAAACCGCGCTAATGGAAAAATCGCCATTTCTTGCCAAAAATACAACAGTTTTAAACCATCTCTAGTAAAATAAAGATTTTTTCCCCATGAATTATATATATGTTTTCCGAAAGAAGACATTTTATATGGCAACAGATACTGATTATATTTTTTTTCTCTCTGAGGAAAAAGTGACTCAGAGAAGTAGAACAGGTATAGATAATTCCTGAGGTCTATAATTTCATTAACACACTAATAAGATTTAATGCCTTGTAATTAAGTTAGATATACATTCTGGCAGCGGTTGGCAAGACTGGATTATAAAACTGACCCATTCCACCATTAAAATCAGCGAACTCGGATAGTGTGGTATACCGCTATTATCAGCTTAATTACTACCACATCAAAGCAAGGTATACGCATAATCTAGTGACGGATCCAGCAATTTGTAAATGAAGGGGTGGGGGTGAGTTGGCGGTTGGGGTGTCCATCTATCGTGTATAGTAAAACATAAAATGCTTACACTCACCAACAAATACTGTTATTACTGCATGGCAAATGCAGATTTTAAAAGTTTCTTCAAATCATGGCTCCAGTGGGTAAGGTGGGGGCACAAAATGGGATCAAAAAATGTATTGGAATATAGGGGAGAAAAAAAAATCTTTTGTAAGATAGTTTAAGATAGTATTCATTTCATGTTTGATTTCCTTGTCTTCGAAGCTTTAAGTATATCATCACAAAGACATTAATTTCTTAGGTAAGGAAAAAATTATGAATAATGTCTTTGAAATGTAATACTTCTTCCTTCTCTCTGCGTCCCCTCTGAGGTTTAGAATTTCAAAAAGGGAAATGTCTTGATTAGATGGCACAAAGTTTTCACATTAAAAACCACAATTTCCCATAAATATATAAAATTCATGACTTTTTCAGACCTATGCCCTGAATAACCCAGACCACCTCTTATATATTATTAAATGATTAACTTCAATGGTGATGAACTTTACAGAAATATCATGGTTAAAAACACACTACTTTGTGAATTCAGAGACAAATTTTGTGAGCATTTTCAATTACTTAGCTGCTGAGGGTCGGACAACGAGTGCATGAAAGGAAAGACAACCCTGGATTGGTGTGTAAAATATCAAAGTAAATTGATTGCAGTCAATGTGTATGATAATGCGTGATTAAAATATTTTTTACGGTACTTTCATTTTGAATTTGATTCGTTTTCAATTTATAATTTTGCCCTCACCTGCTTTCAAGGATTAATCTTAAACGACCTCTGTCCACTGCACACTTCTGAGGAATTTTTATGCAGTAAAAGTAATCTGCCCTTAGCTGTAAAATTAAAATTACAACACATTACTCAATTTGTAACCATTTTAAGCATTCTTACCAATTTATTAGCCCAAGAGAAATTAACGGAGCACTTTATTTATATTACAGTGTTTTCTTCTAAGCAATACTTTGTCGTCTTTGAAATTTTTCTATATATGGCTACCTTTGTCTGGTGCCCCTGTTAAAAATGAAAACGATAAACTCAATATTAAACTTATATGCAGATATTTTTTTTCAATGTCTAAAAAACTTTTTTCATACGTGCATAGGGCAGCGCCATGCATCCATTTTCAGGTTACTTGAGTCACGTGCCCTCTCGCTATCTGTATCAGTCAACGAAGAAAAACATTATTGAAAATAAATGAATTTATAGAAACTAGGGTTATTGTGGAATGAAAATATTTTTCTGAAATTAATAAAATCTAATATTAAAATAGATTTCTAAGAATAGATAAATATGGGAGGGTGAGTTCGTTGTTCGTCGTCCGGCGTTGATCGTAAACTTTCAGTTCCTTCTCCGGGACCCCCGAACCAATTTCAACCAATTTAAGCATCTATGGGTCAAAGGAACAAAACTTGTGAATTTCGTGGTCCTTGCCTCCCTGGGACCCGAGGGTTAGTATTATGTTACAACTTTTGAATTTACATCCACCAACTGGACCATGATAGTAGGGACAAAGCGCTCAACATTGATACAATCTTCAAAATTTTTCTGTACTCCTTGTTATCTATAAGGCAAACTGTTGGCCTAATTATAATTACCTAAGAGCCTTTTACTAAAATTCTGAAACTTATGGCCCCTGGGTGCAAGGGTTCAGGCTCTAGGATGGGGTTAAGTTGGGCATATATATAGGAAATGCTTTACATATAATGTACATGTTTATCTTATAATATTCTCTTCTTTTTCATGGATATCTAGCAGGTAATCTCCTGCGTGATTACCAGTATGACGAATGTTCCACTTTCTACCTAAAATTGAAAAAAATAATGATCCCCGGGTTCAGACCTTAGGGTGGGGCTTAGTTGGTCACTGCCTGAAAACACACCTTTGAAATTTGCATTTTAATCTGTAAAATTTGCATTTTTAACTAAATGATATACACTTTATTTTACACATTGATCTATAAAATTGTTTGTATTATTTGAATGGTCATATTATGTTGTTATGTATGTACATGATATAGAAAATTAAAAGATGACTGGCTCATGGTTATAAATCGTACAAAATGGGATGTTATTAAATAGTGACATAAAAGTCTTTAGATTATTGATTCTAGTGGGCTTCAATCGTGGATCAAATGTTACAAAAATATGTATGTACGAAAAAAAAATCTCAAAATCATCTCCAAAATAGCCAGACAATGTTAGTTATAAAGATATTGAACCATCCCCGTGTTGTGTCGATTGAACTTAATTTGACTGATTTAATTCAATAAGTTATGACCTCTTGGGGTTAGGGCGGGTAAAAATATGGGGTCAAATTTTGCATTTGGAGTAAAGATGGGAAAATCTTCTGAAGAAAGTAGTACCACAGTGACTTACATGGGTGTTTTCTATGGGTAATTTCCCCCTGTAATTCCTCAAGAATTTATTTTCAATGTAGCACTTATTTTTTTAAGTAAGAGCAACGAACATTCTATCTTTTATTTATGTTCTTCACTTACATTTCACAAGCTACATGTTTATCTGAAACCTGACAAGAAATATTATTCTTCAATTATATTTGAGTGATATCACTGAGTGATATCATAATTACTTGTTATAGAAGATGTGTACTTTTTACAATATGCAGGATTCATGCTCGTTTGGTTTTAAAACGTATATGTATGATGTTTGAGGTAGCTGAGTTGATTGTGTAAATTATACAAATTGAAATGTACGATTTTACAGATTTAAGTGTAAATTTTACATAATAAAGTGTAAATTTTACAAATAAAAAGTGTAAAATCTACAGATTAAAGTAAAAAAGTATAAAATTTATAGATGAAAGTGTAAATTTTACAGATTAAAGAAATGGTGGTTTGGAAAATGAAAATGAAGAATAAAAAAGTGTTAAAATGGCTTCCGTAACATGCAATCACCGAAGCTGAACTCTTACGTAATTGATAATTGTTTTAAAAGGCCTCATGCTGTGAACAATAAAGAACTGAACTCGTATATGCAAAAATTTAACTGTATACCTGCCTAAAATTTTACATCCACACATACTAGTATTTCATAAAGATTTCATGACAAGTGTGCAGTATTTGTCATTTATTTTACGTTTATTTAGGTTGTATGTTACAAATATAAGCCATATTTATACAGTATAGAAAAATAGAAGACGGAATAACAGAGATGACTTCTGAGTATTTTCATGGCATATATATGTATATTTCTATATCAGCAAAAGTTGATGTAAAAATAACACTTACAAAATGAGATCATCAGCTTAAGAGACAATAAGATTGTTGCATGATTACCTAAAAATAATATTTTAAAGAATTGCCTACATATAATTCATTTTAGATTAAAAAAAAATAAAGTAGAAAATCAATAGCTATACGAAGATGAACAGTCTGTGATGGACAAACTAAGAATAAATCCAAATGTACATTTTATCCCTCCCCCCTCAATATACAAAAACAACCACAACTTCTACTAGTAAACTGAACAACTATTCGCTATACATCCGTCATTTCATTTTCTTGTTTAACTTTGTTCGAAATATTGACAATCAACACGTCGTCTTTCTTCTCGCAGAAGAAGTTCCCATTCAGCATAGTAACACTCCCTGGATCCATGCGAATCTTTTCCGATGGGTGAGAATTTGCCCTCTTTTCAATACCTTGACTTTCAGGTTGCTTTGAAATTGGAATGATATCTGCTACTGGCCAGTTTTGTCTGTGCTCTCTTATGATGTCATCAAAAAGATTCCGGAAGCTCAGACTACTTGTATCAACTTCAATGTCAGCAGGAGGCTTAAAAAGAACATTCCGAAAGACCCATGGTAAAAATCCCCCAGCGAGTGTAGCCAGCATTTGATTGACACCAGAAACCGAATATTCATTTCCAAACGCCATAACAACCACAACAACAAATAGAAGAAACAGAATAATCACTAGAAACTGACGCAAAGCACACAACAAATTTTTATAGAGACTTCCGGGGCAACCCACGTGATCAATGTGAGCAGCCTTAAAAAAGAAGGTCCTAGTGATATATGGCTTATCATGATTATCTAAAAATAACAGAACGCGAGGAAGACTCCATTTCAGTACGCCACTACACATATGAGCGTAAATGTCATTTGTCACAGATTTATTCTCATGATCATCAACACTTATTTGAAAGGCGGTGTTCGGTTGCTTGTCCGCTGTCTGCCAGGCCACCTTGTCGACTTCATCTTTTACCCTTCCAAGAAGTGCTTTATTTATAGCTTGATTGAAAGCCTGGTACTTCCGGGTCACACTCCCAAAACAATCTCGAGCGTACAAAGTTAGCATGAAAAGTAGGGATACGTATTTCAGTGTTTGAGAAGCGTTCAGGATGACGCCAATCAACGTGTACACTATGATTTCAACAAAAAAGACGATGACCTCTACCGCCAAAATTACGCAGGAGAGCAAAGCAAGTAAGCTCAACAAAATGGCAATAAACTGAATGACACGAAACCGGTGACTAGATTTGGTTGACAGACGTGCAACAGTTTCTTTTCGGAGAAGGCCAACTACACCAACTTGTTCTTTTAGGTTGGTTACGAATTTAAAATCCGGGAAAATTACAATTATCAAATGGCACAATAAACGTACAGCGATGTTCAGTGTTGGTATGCAGTAAAATGCCACGACTATGATAACAACTGGTAAAACGAACAACCAGTATATACCAACGATGAAGAATGCGAGAACTCCATACTCCTTGAAGGGGTAAAGCAAAGTTCTTATTGCCCATCCGAATGATCTCGAGTATGAGGACTCTTTCATATCTCGGAAGCACTTCCGAAAAACTATTTCAATGTTCCTTTTCACTTCAGATGTGACGAATTCTAGAATTCCAAACAGGATAGCGTCTAATACAAGCACAGAGTAGCAGAAAACAAAGATAGCATGAACTGGAGTTAAAAAACTCGCCATGCTTCCTGGAAAAAATGCGTAGTGCACTTCCAGCTTCCGATCTTGTGCTGCGTCGTCCCTATCGTCGTGTTCACTATCTTCATATCGATAGAAAATAGCGATTCTTAATACCCATGGAATAATTATTAAACAGCAAGAAACGATGAACATGATTCTTTGTAGGCAGTGATACCACTTCACATGTTTGAAAACTGAGGTTCCCCTAAAAGGTTCGAATATACTGCGGTGACAACATGTCTTCAAAGATTCTCTTTCTCGAATTTGGCAACGGAAGAAGGAATCATACAATGATCTAATAATGCCGACTGGGACATCATTTGGAGGTATCAGTCGATCACGTTTCACGCTAAAGTGGATCTTAGACAAACCTAGTGAATAAACGGCGTCTTCCTCCATTTCATCTAATTGTTTCATGAACCCATTCATTGAAGATATTTCATTTATATTCACGACATTGTCCGCTGTGGTATTGATATTCTTTAAGCAAGTTTTCATTACTCTGACTTGGACCTGTTTCTCACAATTAAGTTCGTACTTCAACATTTTATACTTTTCTTGATACCAAGACTTAGGTATGAGATAAGGACAAAACATAATTGCAAGCATATTCATGAAGTATATGCAGAAAAACAGAAGTTGGACGTACAAGTCTTTTACCAACTCTTGACATACCACGCTACCTTTTGAAGATTTTGTACAACACACGTGGTAAAAAACAGCTCTGTTGTTCTCATTTTTAATGTGCATGTTGCAGATGTGTTCATTATCCCCAAGACTTCCACCGCTTCCGTCTGGTGAAATTTCTTTGAAATCATTCAATAAAATTTGACGAAGTCCCCTCTCGATGTCATGTATATTTCTACCTAATAGACAACCATCTGGTTCTTCTATTAAGTCGACCCTCATGTTTTCAGTGCCATATGTTAAAGTCGAAAGTGAAAGTATTTCGAAACCCGTCTTCAAAAACAACAAGCCTTGACCATGCCGACCTGTACTTCTTTCCCACTGGAATATTTTATAAATATCCGACTCTGTTTCTCCCGGTAGTTTTCCGGAATGGTTGCGAAATTCCAGATCAAATATTATAAGTTTCGTTCCGGCGTCTAGAAGTTCTTTGATATCATGTCTTAGCATTTCGGACACTGGTATCACTGTGCAATTCTTGGACAAAGTCACTGATAAATCTCGATTTAAAGAAATCACACTTGTAGTGTTCATCAGTGGAATTTGATCTTCAGAATTACTTTCGGAGCCAAAAGCTGGTCGAAAATAGACAGAGACAAACACAGCAAACACAAAGACGTCCATTTTGCAAAATGTTTTAGTTTCAGTTTAATGGTATAGTCTTAATCACCATTACGTGTAGAAGGCATTTAAAATACTGTTGTGGTGCAGTTTAATCAATCAAGCGGAAATTTAAACTTTCATGAAGTGTTTGCGGAAACCTTTATAGTGTTCAAGGAAGCAAAACAGTCACAAAGCTATTAACAATTTTATCGACAAACCGAAACGAAGCATATCAAAATAGGACTAATGGCTGAAACGTATTGAACGACGAAAATGCACATTTAAATAATGACAGACTATAAACCATTTCGGAAAACATGCATTTATTAACGAGAGGCCTATAAGCCATATCGTTCACTTTAGTCTCTATGCCTATGCTGTTCTCCAATAGCAGATTTATTCTTATTATATATTGGAGATTTTTGTAAAATATTTTTATGTAAAATTTTGATCTTTAATGCAGGGCTTACACTACCTGAGAATGTTTTATATGACTAATCAGGGCGTAAAAGATGCTAGTAAATTTTCATTTATTTTAATTATCTTCCTTAGGTAGAGGACATGGCTCTTCAGTTGAACAAACTTGAATCCTCTCTTTACCAAAGGGTGCTTTGTGGCTGAATTGTTCTTGAGAAGAAGTCAAAAATGTGAAAAGTTTACGACGACGACAGACTACGGACACATTTTGATCGGAGAAGCTCAGTAAAGCTTTTAGCTTAGGTGAGTTAAAACATATTTCTTTCTTTTAAAATTGTTTCTGTACACATTGCGACCACAAACTTTTAAAATCAGATCTGATTTTGTTTTTTTTAAAAGAAATTGTTGAGTTTCCTTTTCTTTCAATGATATTAAGTCAAATAGATTGACTGATTGATTGATTGTTGTTTAACGTCCCTCTCGAGAATTTTTCACTCAAATGGAGACGCCATCACTTGCCGGTGGAGAGCTGCAAATTTTTGACCTATGCTCCGCACTCGGGGCCATTGAGCAGTGAGGGGACTTTTTCGTGCCAGCACCTACTGCGACACGGGACCTCGGTTTATACGGTCTCATCCGAAGGACCGGTCTTCATGTCCCGCAGTGGGATTCGAACCCGCGACGTAAGGATCAACTCCTCACACCGCGACTCTAGAGCAAACGCTCTAACCACTGCGCCACGCGGGTGACTTTAAGATATTAAGTGTCTGTTAATTCTACAAAATAAACAAGCATTTTAACATTATTGTACAAGCAAAATTGTTCCTTCCGGCTATGTATCATCTAAATTCCCTTAAATATATAAGATCAGATATGTTTATTTCAAGGTATATGAAAGAGGGGCGGGGTTTACATGGGCACCCTACGTAACACATCCGAGGTTTTTTTGGTTGTCGGAAAGGTCCGAAAAGTTGCAGTTGATCTTCAAATATCGGAAAACCAAGTGGGACTGACTAAATGACAGACAAGTCAAAGCTAGACATATAGTGAGAGTCTAAGTGAGACACATAAAGTCCCCTCCGATTTCCGTATTTGCCTCTAAAAATCATGAAACATAAAATTGGCACTCCCCTCAGAAATATGTTTTCAGCAATTTGACACAAATAAGATTTTGAAAAATCCATTATTAAGATAATAAATTAGATAAACAAATAATTAGGGACATTTGGGAACCTCATTTTTAAGATAGGTCATTATACTGGTTCCATTTAAATTGACACAGTCTCCATAAAACGAGGGGATGCCCTTCCACGACTTCATCCATCCTAGACTGGCGCATGTGCATTCCACAGGGGATGATGCCATATCCACCGATTGTAAGGACTCTGCCTTCAAAAGTGCTTTTGGGATGGAGGTGAGATTAGTATGATCCAGAACTAAATCACCAAGTCGTTTATTGTTCATAAATGCATTTTCCGAAATCTGAGTCAGGGGATTGTAACTAAGGAAAAGGACATCTAGATTGAAAAATCTGCTGCAATCATTGTCCTGAATTTCGAAGATTTGGCTGTTTGTTATACTCAAGGCCTGCAGAAAGTCTAAATTTGACAAAACAGGTGGTATACGTGTTAATCTTGTACCATTAAAGGGCAGATAGTACAGATACTTGCTGAAATCCGGCGGGAAAATGTCTCCACGAAGATATTCTATGGGTTCATTATTAACATAAATTTGTCTAATCTTATCTGATTTTGAAAAGATAGAGGGAAGAGTTGTTAATCCATTGTTCTCAAATGTTATCGACGTTAGAAATGGAAATCCTTCGGTTATAGACTCCGTTATTGCATTTGCTGACAATTTCTTATTTCCTTGAAAAGTCATGGTTGAAATCATTCTGCAGTCGTTTAAGGAAGATGGTAACTTTGTTAAACCAGTATTGTAGAAGCTAAGGAATATCAAATTATTTTTGTACAAAGCAAACGCATCGTCTGGCAGCTCAGGAAACTGTACGTCATATAAATCAATAGAAAAGAGATTGGGAAGAAGATGCATGTTCATCGGCCATCTTGTCATCGACTCGGATCCGAAACTAAGCAGCTGTAAAGAGGAGGAGAGGTTTCGCAGCACATTTTCAGGAAAATCCGGAATTGGATTTCCTTGAATTGAAATTGCAGTCAGTTGTTTAAGCTTTGCAATGGCACTGGGCAACTCTCTGAGTTTGTTATATTCAAGATGAAAATAGTTTAAAGTGTTTTCACTCCCTAGAAATGCATTCTCTCCAACTGTACTAATGGCGTTGTTTTCCAATGAGAGAAAATTGATACTGACACCAGAAAAATAATTTTCAGGTATAGTTTCAATCCCATTGCCGTCTAGGTAAAATGTCCATTTTCCTTCTGACTTCTGGATAGGAGGAAGTGACGAAAGATTTTTGTTGCTACAGTACACAATCTGTTGATTTCCATTACATTCACAAGGCAGAGGAAGCGGACAGTCTGGAATTATTCCTACACCATATATGGTATCAATGCAGTTGACAATTATTATGAAAATGGCAATCACCTGAAATAAAGGGATTCTTAAATAGATCATTGTAGAAAGAATTTATAATTCCAGCTTAATGATTTAGAGATTAAGTCAACTTTTAGAATAAACGAGGAAACTACATGTACTTACTGACTGCAAATATCTTGCCATGATTTTCTAACTTTAGTACATGTATGTTACTATGTAGTGGAAAAGTAGATCAGTAGTGATAAGGGGCCTAAAAATTGGCATTGCTCCCAAAGTATGTTTAGATTATAAGTATTTTTTTTTCTCATGTCATAAAATTGGATAATAAATACGTTTTCCCTGTTTTTACTTAAGTTTTGCCTACTTTTTTCCTCGGCACAGAAAAAAAAGGAATTTGGCATTTAAATATTTAACCGTGGCCATTTCAAAACCATTTTTTCCCCAGATTCTACGATTAAAGATGAATAAGGCAATACCTTAAGTAAAATGAATACCTTAAATAAGTATTTTTACTTATGTAGCTTGAATTTAAATCTTTCAGGTTTCAATTATTGAAATTACTAATAAGAATTAAGATGAATTTTAACATGCATGCAATGCCACATAAAAGTATATATAGCCAAAGTAATACCGCAGACATTATTCTCCAATAAAACACGGACGTCAGCAAACGATTATTAATTCAGAAACACACTTGTACAGATAAAATTAATATATGACTTTAGAATAAAATACATTATAAAGATCATATCGATGTCTCGTCTTTTGCTCTCGAAACGTTGTACATTGCTAAACACAGCTGATTAATACATATTTTTACAGCTAAAGTGAGATTTTCCTAGGATCTTCCTACAAAATTAAAAATTTTACACATCACGATTTTACAGAAAACACACTTGAACTTGACAGATTTATAAAGGAAAAATAGGCATTTATCCCACCGACACATTTATGTAGGAGTAATAGACATATATTCCACTGACAAATTTATATAGAATGATAGGCATTTATTCCAATGATAGATTTATATGGGAATAATAGACATTTATCCCACTGACAGATTTATTTAAACAATAATATGCTTTCTTTGGTAAGCGAGTTGTGTAATTTTTTCTGCAATAGCTGCGACGTTAATTCTCCTACTAACAAAGAAAGAAAGACATTTTATTGCTTATATTAATTTATATCTGTATAAGAAGTTAGTTCCAGTAAAACTAAATATGTTAAATATTGTATAATAGAAGTGTTTGTCATTGTATGTATAATTGATGGAACAGCCGTTGCTCAAGAAATCTCTGCAGGTGACTTGCTTAGTGTCGTTTACTGACTGATAAACGGCAATGGTTTTTATAAGAAATAAAGGAAATATTATTCAGTGGATGTAAATATATAGGAAAAATAGGCGTTTATCCCATTTAGAGTTATGTCTCTTATCAAAGTATCGATGATCCTCAGGTTATTCGCTTTTAAGCAGAGGTGAATTTGTATTGAATTGTATAGGACAGTCATTCTACAAAAAACATGGCCAATTAAGAATATTTTATGTCGCTTACAAATTTACCGTTATAATAACTTAACTACAAATTTAAAGATCGATTTCAACTCAAAGACTTAACATACACACATGGTTTTGTAATTATTTACCGAATATATGCTGTTAAAAGTTTTGATATGAACATAATGTAATGTTGAAAAAAGTATTCCACTGCAAATCTAAATGTCGCTTTATTTATTTACAAATTTCAAGATGGAATTTCGCTAAAAATCGATTAACTTCCGTAACGATTTTGTTTTAAATTTCACGCACAGAAAGCAGATTTCAAAACGAACGGAAACTTATCTGAAAGTGACCACGGAACCCAATATCATCGATTGTAGTTTGCGAATCAGCTATTTTAGACGATTACATTTTCGACATAACAAAATGAATTAGACAAAAATAGTTGTCTCTCTTCAAAGTTTAACTTCCGTAACGGTAATTCAGAAAACTTTTTGATTAAAGATATAAATTTTTTTATTATTTTGGGAGCGAAATGCTTCATACTTTTGTTTAATATCCTAAAACAAACTTTGATTTTAACTATTGCCGAGAATTTTAACTTTTATTGCTGGGAATTAACTTCCCTAACGATATTTTTCCCGAAATTTTAACTTTATTTCGGATTCATGCAAGGCTTCATAAATCATACTTTAGCGTTCTATACTGAACATCAGAAACGAAAAATTGGTCAAATTCAGCTTTATTTAAAAATCATAAGACTTGATCAAGCATTAACTTCCGTAACATTACCTTAAAATCAATGGTATATTGAAATTGTTGTAAAAAGTTAACGATACCAGATTTGTGAACAATTCTTTTTTTTTTCAAGTTCTCTAATATGTCCTTTAGAGAATTATGATGTTCATTTTGCTATTCTAAACAATTATTTTTTCATGTTTTATACCCTGAATTGGTCCATTTATCGTAGAATGACTGAGGAGAAAGATAAAAAATTTCCCCAATTAATCCCAGAAGGTAACGGATCACCTCAGACAGGTCACTTGTATATCTCATTAACTGCATATTTTGAAATGGCTTCAAAGCCAAAACTACTCGCATACCGGGGGTATTCTGGTGCAATTACATGTACGGTATGCGTTTAATCAATGTATTGATGCCTACTTTTTTTCCAGATCAAATGATACATAGAAACTAACACATTTGGAATGAGGATAACCGTGAAAAATTAAGATGCAAAGATTAACTTTGCTTGAATTGCCGTGATTGCATATGCATGATCGCATGTTGAATTGAGAAAGTTAGTTTCATGAATAAATCATCTAACTTCATAATTATCTAACTGTACATGCATTGATAATACAGTTAAAGTGTATCATTGAGAAAGTCGGAAAGATTTTGGTTCCCATGAAATCAAATTTATTTCCTGAGGCCAATTCAAAGGAACAAGGAAGAAGATTTGACGAAAAGGAAGCAGACTGACTCCAGAGATGATATATATATATATATATATATATATATATATATATATATATATATATATATATATATATATATATATATATATATATATATATATATATATATAATTGTGTACTTAAATGTTGATGGTATAGATAGCTCCGCCAACCACGCCACTGAGAGCCCGTAAACCAAAATGAAGACTGAGTTCAATAAGCCCCCTCACACCCTACCCCAGCGTTGCTGATTGTTCGATCTAAAGGTGGATCTGAAAATAACAACTTTTTTCTCCATTTTCAAATGTAGTTGAATACAACCTATACTTTAATCAAATGCTTGATTTCAAAACATTGCTGATAAGATATGTTGCTCGTAATAATAGTTGTTATAGAAACAAGGGGACCGCAAAGTGGAACATCCCCTCGCAAAGAGCATATCTATAAATCAAGACAGCATTCGACATCGACCCCGATGCAAATTACGTCACTTCCGTTTCGCACAGTCTCTCACCCACAAACACACACACACACACACACGATTGCGTTACTATATCCCCTCCATTGCGAGGGAATAATAAACATAAAAGTCTTATTTATTTCGGTTTTTGAATACTGGTTTAAAACAAAGAATGGAAAATATAGAGTCAACGAAAAAGACAGAACCTGTTGAGGCCGGCCGAATTCCAAGACTATGGTGATTTGGATGTTTACATCAATCGGAGCACAAAAGTGTAAAAGCAAGGTAGTTATTTAGGAACACTAAAAAGATATAATGTCTTTGAACAATATCTTACAGTAACGGAAAGGATTAAAGTCGCATTGTCTCAAAAATTTGTCATTAATGTCCTTTGAAAATTTTATACAAAATATTCCTCATGATGAGTTAGAGACCAGATTTTTGTATCTTGTAATTGGTCATCTACAAAATTGCTTTGTTAAAAGATGTTATGATTTTACACACAAGTCATGAAATTTTTTGTTTAAAAGAGCTCCTCTTTGACAATATCTCTGTCCAACATTATGGTTGAAACTAATTTTACTCCTCTATAAACCTTTGCCTTTTTTATATTCCTGTCAGGCAGAATTTAAAAAAAAACCAACTTCCTTATGAGAAGAAAACTCTTGCTGTGACCTTCAACTTGACATTCAGATATATCAACAACGTTTTATCAATTTACAGTAGTTACTTTCATTCGACTCGATACATCCGAGTGAACTCTAAATAAAAGACACCAAAGAGTCTTTGGCATCTGTTTCATATCCAGATGTTTTACAGACTTTATATATAAGAAAAAAGTAACATGTGAACTACAAGGGAAGAATTGAACTTTGCCATCGTCAGCTTCCAGTATTTATTTAGTAATATTTCACCATCAACTGCATATGGTGTATGTTTCACATCGGATTCGGTGAACAAGACTCCATGATCAATTGTTAAAACTGGAATAGACCACTGTCAAATTAGTTGATTTTACAAGGCTAATAAAATTATAGCAACTTTAGTTTAAAATAGTCAACGTTTTAAACATGTTCAGTATATAGTTCATGAATATTTTGATTTACTAAGAAACTTTGATATTTGATTTAATGTAATACTCTGATATTTATCTATTACACTTTAAAGTATTTTGAAATATTTCTCACGACCTTCGTGATAAAACTTGATGTAATTTGATAAAGATAAATGATCTTAATCTTCAAAGATAAAGCGTTACAATACAATTAAAATGTTCACTCTAATATAAAACGTTGCATTGCGAATTGGAATACAAGTAATGAAAAATGTAGTAAAAAACAATGATCGAAATGGGAATAACAAAAAGTATAACAATTTGGATTCCATAGTAGAAATAATAATTTCAAAAAACTTTGAATCTTTGATATACTATGGTAATTTATAGGTCACTACAGTTTATTTTAGTATTTTTGGTTACAGATATTTCAGATTAGCAGAGGAAGTAGAGGGGATAATAAATGCAGAACCCACAATTATTACTTTTTTAAAAAATAATTTATAACACCCAAATCGATGAATAGGAATATCATACGAATGCTTTTTATTTGAACTGAAAGGTAATGATTATAAAAAGTAACAATAAAAATAGGAAAAAAGTCTCATCCAAAAAAGATATAGCAATTTAAAGTGGTAGGTACGTCTGAAAAATAAACATTCAAGGGGTAAAAATCTAAAAAAAAAAAAAAAAATGACACGAGATATAATAATA